CAGCAAATTAGCAGGGGATGGAGATCTTGTGTATATTCTGAATGTGGAAAGGCCTTCAGCAATATGTCAAATTTTAGTAAATACCAAGCAAATCAACCAAAAACAAATCTCATCGCACTTCTTCTGAGGAAGACTTCCCAGAAAGACAGTCTCAGTATCCATTACAATGTTCACACATGAGATAAATTGTATGAAAATTTCTCTTGAAAATCAGATATAATGTACCTCATAGAATTCATGCTTCAGAAGAGCTTTGGGAGGCATCACAAAGTCACAAATACATGAGGGAAATTACTCAGAAAGTGACTTTTCATAATACACTGAGAAAAATTTTTGTATTTTGACTAGCCTTGTTAAGGATTGTAGAATTTATTTGGGGGCAAACTCTTAAATCAGTGCATCAAGAAAATTCTTTCTTCAGAAAGCCCCACACTGAGTATCCCTTGTCTGAAATTCATGAGACCAGAAATACTTTTGATTTTGGACTTCTTTCACATTTTGGAATATTTGAGTAGACTTTACCAGTTAAGCATGTCTAATCCAGAAATCCAAATCCAAAACACTCCAAAATCTGAAACTGTTCAAAGAGTTCCAAGTTTTAAAGCATTTCAAATTTTGGACTTTCAACCATACAAGATAGATTGCTACTTAATTATCTGAAAGTTTGAGAGAAATCATACTTGTGATAAACCTTTTAGTGTGGTTTATTAATATTTTTCTTTTGTACCAGGCAGGACCTTGCACTTGCCAGGCAGGCACTAGTGCCACTGAGCTACATCTCCGGCCCATGGTGTATTAATATTTTAATTGGCCAAACACTGAATGATGATAGCTTGGTACATATGTACAGTGATACCTCAGTTTTCAAACTCAGTTCATTCCATTTGTGCTCGAGAACTGAACATACTTCTCCCATAAGAAATAATGGAAAACCAAATAATTGGTTCTGAGGCCCAAAAATTATACTTATAAATTCATTTTTCCAAGCCTTTAACAAATTTCACAGTGATTCCTTTCTTTAACTCTTACGGTTCACACAGTTTTCCTCTTAGCTTTCTGGTCGGTATCACTAGCTTTCTTTGGAGCCAAGGTTATGATATTTCACACAAATAAAGTGCAAAATAGCACAGTGCTTTAACACAGTAACACAAGTGCTATATGTTCTCTGGGTGAGAGCAGCCCTTAGACTGAAGCGTCACCCCTTTGTGCCCACATTGAGATGTGATGGGAAATTCACTCTCTGCCCCTACAGGTTTTTTCAGGATGGATTTTCGGTTGGACAGTGGAGCAAATACCAACACCGAGCAGATTTTGTTCAAACTTTGCTGTGTGAGTAGTGGAAGGTTCGAGGGTGGAGCCTGTATCAATCAGTGTGTACTAGAGAAACAGATATAACACAAGATATACAAATGTATAAGGAATAGATGTATACAAATGTATACATATACAAATGTATAAGGAATAGATCGGCTTACGATGGTCAGCCACAGTTGGACTAGGAAGTGTGCAGAGGGTGTCTGCATTCTGGAGGCTGAAGGGTCCAGCCCAAGATCTGGAGCTCACTGCAGTGTCTGTGCAAGTCCGAATCGTGAGGCCAGTGGGTCTGCGGCGGAATGCTGAAGAGTCTCAGGCAGAAGCCAAACAGTCTGTGCCAGAAGCCAGGAGAGGACGTCTGAGTTGAAGGCAAAGACAGGAGCTCCTGCGAAGAACCAGCAGTAGTCCTTCCTCATTTCCCTTTTATCGTATGTAGGCTGCCCGCCCTGGGGTGGGTCCTTTACACCTGCATCGTTGCTGTGCCGTTGTGCACACGCTGAAGATATTTACACATTGATGACCCCGGCCCCCTGCTGAATCACTTACACTTCTAAACTTTTCTTTTTTTTTTTTTTTTTTTTTGGTTTTGGTTTTTCTCCGGTACCAGGAACTGAACTCACGACCTTGCGCTTGCCAGGCAGGCGCTTTTGCCGCTGAGCTAAATCCCCAGCCCCTTAAACTTTTCAAGTTGATACAGTGAACAACATCTTAGAGCTAGAGTATGTCTTCTGCACCCCAAGACGTACAGCTGCTGTAGAGCTCCTTAAGTTTGTAGACTTCCCAAGTTGACACAATGTACCAACCATTACAGAGCCTTTTGACAACAGAGGTATCGCTGTATTTATCTGCATGAATATTAATATATGTATGTAAACATATGTGATCTAATCATATAGTTGTTGATGAAGAAGAGAAAACAGATACATTTGGCCAGTAATAAGAATAAACAGGGGCTGGGGATTTAGCTCAGTGGCAAAGCGCCTGCCTCGCAAGCGCAAGGTCATGAGTTCAGTTCCTGGTACTGGAGAAAAAAAAAAGAATAAATAGATGCCGCTGTGACTCCCACAGACAGTGAAAGACAATCAGGAGAGATTGTAAACAAGCCTATGTGAATTTATTGCACAGGTAATTAAAAACATTTGTTGAAAAATAAACCTTATCAACCTAAAAGTGCTGAGATAAAGATCTAAGCAAGTGAATACACACACACACACACACACACACACACACACACACACGTCTTTGTTCTTGAACTGGAAGACTTAATATAATTAGGGTACCAAAGTGATCTGTGAATTCAAAGTGACCCTAAGCAAATTCTCAGTGAGAGGATATATAGAAACTGGCAAGCTGATTCTATAATTTACAGACAAACAAAACACTGGAAAATCTTAAAGAATACTGAAATTCAATAACATCTATTGCAGCAAAACCCTCAAGTTCCAGCCCCACTGGCCTCAGGTCCCCATCCTCCTCCACAGCCCTCACCTACACAGGTGAAGACTCCTTTTCAAACTAAAAACTGGGAGTCATTTCCCAGCGAATGCTGTCGGAGCATTCCTGGCGGTGGAGCATTCCCGACCTGCAGTCTATTCCATGGCTCCTGAGCCAAAACACCCAGCAGAAGCACTGCATGAAAAACGCCTCAGAGCAGGACAGTTTGTTGTGTCTGCGAGCAGTCAGGGACAGTTAGACCAAGAGAAGGAACAGTGTCTGAAGTGGGTCATGGGGGCTGGGTTAGGGTGGGGCGGCCGCGGCATAGAGACTGCTTGCTCTCTCAGCTTTCATTCCCCTTCATGGTCCAGCTCTTCAGAAAGCCACAGCCACCCTGCTAAGGGCTCCGTGCTGGGTAACAGGGACAATGTCCAGTTCTGCCACCTTTACCTCTTACCTCTGCTTCCCAGAAGAAAGCAGGACTCATCTCCGTGTATTTGTAGGAATTAATGACCGAATGAATGAGTGAAATATAAATAAAACATTCAGAAAGTTTAAACTTCAAGATGGCAAAAGTAAAAAGTTTCTGCACAGCAAAGAAACGCTAACAAACCTACAGTATGCAGAACATTCTTGCCAGCTGTTCATCTGACAGCAGGTAATATCCACAGTTTTTAAGGATCTCAGAAAAGTGAACAAAAACCCCAAGTATCCAATTTTAAAATGGGCAACTTCTCCAGATAAACACTTCTTTTTGTTGTTGTTTTGTTTTGGTCTAGTTTTTCTTTTTTTTTTTTTTTTTGAGACAGGGTTTCACCATGTAGTTCAGTCTGGACTTGAACTCATGATGTAGCCCAGGTAGGCCTCAAACTGCCAGCAATCTTCCTGCCTCAGCCTCCCAAGTGCTTGGATTACAGAAATGTGCCACCACACCCAGACTAAATAAACACTTCTTAAAAGAAGAAATAACAAATGGGTAACAAATATATGAAGCAATGCTCCACATCCCTGGCCGTGATAGTAGGATGACTATTATGAAAAAACAAAAACAATGCTAGCAAGGATGTGGAGAAAAAGAAACTCATATCCTGTTGATGAGGATGTAAATGAGTATAGACATTGTGAGGAACAGCGCAAAAGTTCCTCAGATAACTGAAAATAGGTCCGTTGTACCACCAGCTATTCAATTCCGGGCGTACATCTGAAGTGAATGAAACCAGGTGTGGTGGTGCATGTCTGTAATCCCAGCACTCCCGAGGCTGAGGAAGACGGACCCCTGAGAGTTCAAGGTTAGCCTGAACTACATAGTGAGACCCTGTCTCAAAAAGAAGTATAAATGTTATATAAAAAATAAATAGGGGCTGGGGATTTAGCTCAGCGGCACAGCGCCTGCCTGGCATGCACGAGGTTCTGAGTTTGATTCCCAGTACTGGAAAAAAAGTTAAAAAAAATAAATAAATAAATGAAATCAGCATACCAAAGAGATGCTGGCACCCCCACATCTACTGTGGTGCTATTCACAATAGTTAAGGCACAGAATCATCCTGGGTTCCCATCAGTGGATGAATGAACAAAGAAAATACCAAATGGAACATTATTCAGACATAAAGAATGAAGTCCTGTTGTTTGCAGCCAAATGGATGTAATTGGCAGACCCTGAAATAAACCAGACTCTGGAAGACAAGCACTGCAAGTTCTTATATCTACAAGTTTTAAAAAAATAAACGACCTGAATGTAGAATACTGACAACTAATTTTTGGGAGGGGGATATGGATAAAGGGAGGCTGGGTTTGGTGAGTGTTTACAGTATTCATGTCTGGAAAGGTCGCACTGGTCCTCATTCCTATGTGCAATTAATATGTTAATAATTTTTTTAATTAAAGAGAATAGATAATATCAAAGAAGTTGGGAATGCTAGCCTAATATCAGATGAACGAGCCTTTAGTGCAACGTGTATTTCTACCCATTACCAGATCTTCATAAAGATCAAACTTTTAGTACAATAGAAAAATATAAAAAGTTTAAATATGTCATCTACAAACAGAGCCTTCACCTACGCAAAACACACAGAGTTTTAGCTCCTTCCACCAGAAACTTCTGATGGTGGACGAGTTAGTGTCCCTCCCTTGAGGACAGTGGCCACTTGGGGACAGTGGCCACTTGGGGACAGTGCCTAGGCCTGCTGTGCTGACCTCATTGTGCAGGGAGGGTGTGTCCACCCCGGGGCTGCTGAGCAGGAGAGGAAAGGCTTCCTGCTAACACGACTGGGCTTCTCTGTCCATCCCGTCCCTGGGTCCCACCCGACTTGACAGATGTCGATGGCCTCAGGGGTAACTCAGGGGTCAGGTCAGAGGGGACCCATTTTCACACTGCAGAAAATATCACTCAAGGGGGAGGATGTCAGCAGGGAGGAGTTGAGCTGGGTCCCTGCATGAGGGTGAATTGGTGAGTCTTTCACTCCTCTGGTCCCAGGTCCCAGGAGTGGATGTGGGTGGTGGGTGGCTGATCCCAAGGGCAGACTGGGCCCTGACAGTGGCCAATCCAAAGCTCCTCCCACAAAGAGGCACCACTCTTCCTGTGGGGCCTCCTAAAGGTCTCACAGCTCCGGGTTCCTCAGAAGAGAGGCGCTAAATAGACTCCACTGGGCGGGACCGCAGCTCCAGCTGGACATGCTGCCGCTGCTGCTGCTGCTGCTGCCACTGCTGCTGCTGCTCTGGGCGCAGGACGGGGCGAGCATAGGGCGTTACTCCCTGAAGGTGCGGAGCTCGGTGACGGTGCAGGAGGGCCTGTGTGTCCATGTGCCCTGTGAGGTCAGCTACCCCGATGAAGATGGGACTGAGTGGGATCCGGCTTATGGCTACTGGTTCCGGAGAAAGGATGTGCCTACAAGCCAAAGTGCTCCAGTGGCCACAAATGATCCAGATCGACAGGTGCAGAAGGAAGCCAAAGGCCGATTCCACCTCACTGGAGACCCCGGGGCCAACAACTGCTCCCTGGACATCAGAGATGCCAGGAAGAAGGATAAGGGGTCATTTGTCTTTCGGCTGGAGAAAGGAAAGACACGATATACTTACAC